TGAAGGTTCGAAAGGTTGGACCCAAAACATCAAGGGAAGATAGAATTAGTAAAGCACCACTTGCATCTACACGCAAGCTTGGCAACACAACAAAGGCTGGCCAGAACCTGATGAAGCCTAAAGTTGCTGACGCTGCAAAGGAATACAAGAAGCCAAAGGCCAAACCTAAGTCTGAAGTTAATTGGTCTAATTCCCTTATCCTCTTAAACGTACCTGTGAGCGAGGACAGCTTGCTTGAACAGCGGGCCCTGTTTGATCAGGAACAGTGGTCCAACCTGTTCAATAAATTAGGTTTGAACATTAGTTCAGTGAAATTGTGCAGGCTGTACAGGGGTGTCCACACGCCTCAGGGTAAGCCACCTCCGTTAAGGGTTACACTGGACTCTGCCGAAGAGGCCGAAAAGGTACTATTGATGGCTCAGGTGCTAGCCATCAACAGAAGTTCGAACATAAGGGTGAGACAAGACAGACCATGGGCTATCAGACAAATGATGAGGAAGTCACCGGAACTTATGCCTTCCACCTCTATGGTGGTACACGGTGTTCCGGAGCTGGAAACGGGCACTGCTTGTGAAAAACACATGCATGACGTACAGCAATGGAGATAGCGTCGGTGGCACAGTGGTTAGGACTCTCGCCGACCATGCACATGGTCCGGGGTTCAATCCCCTGCCGACGCACACCCGATATCTATGGTCGGCCTGCAAAATTTGGGCTACCGATATCCATGCTGAAAATACGGTGTGGCATCAAGCTGTAAATCAAAATAAAAAAATAAATGAATGGCTGTCCTCTCAGATGGCTATTGGCGCTTCTGGATCCATCTCCATTTCCCTACTACCTTGCCCCGCTCATCTCACACTGATAAGATCTCCAAAGCTGCTAAGTGCCACATTCAACTCCCCGGAGTAGTTGGCCATAGCACCTCAACGGTGGTATGAGACCAAGGGGAAAATGGGAGGACACATCCGATGCTGCGAAAGCAGACCTCGAACCATAAGGAGGCAGCAAACTGAGGCTTTAATACATCCCCAAGCTTCAGTGACACTAGAGCGATTCAGTTTTGAGAACAGCAGTCTTTGTCACCCAAATGTCCTGCCTAAATCCATGGAAAAAACCACAACGGGTCGGTTCCATCAGAATCGGCCAACTAGTCCCGGCATTAAGTCCCCTACCAACAGACAGCTTCACGTCAACTACCCCGCAACACGCTGATGTTGTAAGACTCACTGCCAGCTGCCTATATAGCAATGTGAGGGGACTGAGAGGAAAAGTAGGTGAGCTCCGAAATCTCCAAGCACGCCTACAGCTGAAAACGATCATTCTCACCGAAACATGGCTAACCCCCACTATCGCCGATAATGAAATCAGTATTGGTGATATGGTTCTGGTCAAGAGAGACAGGGATAATAAGGAAGGAGGGGGAGTTGCTATATGCTTTGACAGGCAACTCAAATGTGTGCGCGCAACGGACCCACCACCTATTGAACTCCCAGACTCCATTTGGTGTCATTTCACCGTAGGCCACACAAAGCATTTACTTGGTGGCATCTACCGATCTCCCACCTGTGGGGCAGAGCACAATCAGCTACTGCTCAGCCCTATCACAAGGATACGAGACTTGGGCTATGACCAAATCACCATTGCTGGAGATTTCAATGCCCCATCACTGAACCTTGGCTCGGGGTATGCTAAGGGAAAATTCGGCCGAAATCTACTGTAAGCTATTCGGAACACGGGACTGACTGAGAACGTTGGAGACGACACTAGGTGGGGCCCTAGTGGAAAGTCATCAAAACTAGACTACATTCTAACTAGTGACCAACTACTCGTCGAAAAGGTCCAGGTCATGACTCCTCTAGGAAGTAGTGACCATGCAGTCATAGGTTTCGATCTCGTTCTCCGTGAGCATTTGCAGTGGGACGTTACGCGACCATGTCTGTGTTACAGGGAGCCTGACTATGCAGAAATCCGGAGGTTCTTGTCCGACGCAGACTGGCCCTTAGCATGGGATGAGCTATCTATGGATGAGCACTGGGAGGCGGTAAAAAAGATTATTGACACAGTAATCTCGGATACCGTCCCTTTAGTCACAACACAGCCCAGAAGAAAGTCATCATGGTTAAAGAGAGGCACGCAATGTATTCTGCAAGCAAAGCGGAAGGCTTGGTTTACGTGGCGCGTATCTAAGAGTCAGATCGACCATGATGCATACCTGGAACTCAGGAACCGGTGCAATGCAAGAGTCAGGAGGGACAGGAGGTCATTCCAGGCTAACCTTGCTAAAAAACTCCTAGCAAACCCCAAGAACTTGTACCGATTCATGTCGGAAAGAAAACCAACCAACCCAGAGGCATGCGCCTTAGTGGACCCAAACGGTCAATATCTCACTAGTCTGAAGATGGCTGAAACGTTCAGTTTAGCCTTCGCCAAACAGCTAAACAGCAATGTGGGTATTACCGTTACGGAACAAAATGGTGGCACCACTATTTCACAGGAGGAAGACCTAATGGCTACTCCCCAAACAAACCCCGTAATAGTACTAGGAAAGCTACAGCGACTCACTCCTGGGAAGTCCCCAGGTTTTGACGAAATCAGGCCATCTGTTCTGAAACAGTGCGCCAAAGCTCTCTGTGTGCCCTTATGCGACTTGTTCCAACACTCCATGGAATCGGGGAAATTGCCAAGGGAGTGGAAAAGAAGCATCCTTTATCCGATCTTCAAGAGTGGGGATAAGCAGAATCCCACTAGTTATAGACCAGTAGCTCTACTCCCAGTGGTATCAAAAGTACTTGAGAGTATTATTGACGATCACGTCAGGGAATATCTCGATAGGTCTAATATACTCCGTGAAGCCTAACACGGTTTCAGGAAAAGGAGATCTTGCGTTACTAACTTACTACCTAGCTGAAAGGTAATTTTGCACTAAGGTCCATCGAGTCCGATCATCTTGGCACAACTCGTCATCAGGAGTGTCGCAGGGTTCTATCCTAGGACCACTGATGTTCTTGATTTTTATCAATGATCTACCATGCCGTCTAAGCTGCCCGACTCTTCTATACGCTGACGACGTGAAGATATGGAGGGCGATAAAGTGCCCGGAGGACTCAGATGGGCCACAGGAAGATCTAAACTTTCTGGAAGGCTGGGCGATGGCCAGTGGCATGACCTTCAACCTGAAAAAGTGCAAAGCAGTGAAGTTGCGCACCAGTAGACTGCATAATGCAAGTTACACCCTGTGCAATGGAGGGTTGTCCTGCACAACGTCGGAACGTGACTTAGGTCTAGTTCTTACGGAGAAAATGGACACAAGCGTAAATTACACGGGGGATGTAGCGAGGGCATATGCGGTCATACACTTTACACATAGACATTTAGGGGTACTCACTCCTGAGCTCTTTCTAAGGTTGTACAAAACATACGTCAGATCACACCTGGAAGTGCATAATATTATTGCACCCCCACCGCTTAGAAGAGACGCCAACCTCTTGGAAAGAGTTCAACGACGGGCAACAAAAGGAGTGGTTGGTCTCCGACATAAACCATTTGATGAAAGGCTGAAGAAATTGGGCCTATTCACACTTAGCTACCGTCGTCTTATTTTTTTCCTTCACGTTCCCTAGTGAAACATAGGGCTTCAAGCTAGTGGCTTGAAGTTTCTGTAGAAGTGTTTATTTTACAGGATGGGTTTGTTAGCCTCATGCCCAACCTTCCCTCTTCACCAGCATGATTTCTGGCTTAGCGAGGTAAAGGAATGCATCGGCCGGGGATCGAACCCCGGACCATGTGCATGGTCGGCGAGCGTCCTAACCACTATGCCACCGTCGTCTCAGGGGGCATTTCATTACTGCTACAAAATAACAAATGATCAGAATCACCCAAACAAAGGTGTTCTGCCATTGAGTAGGTATAGGCTCCCTCGTGGAAATCCTAGAAAGATAGCTCATCAGAGGGTAAGGACCCGAGTGCGCTCCCACTTCTTTTCCCTGCGGGTTTGCCGTCCCTGGAATTCCTTACTGGCAGATGTAGCTATGGCAACGTCTGGGGACGCCTTTAAGCGAAGGCTGGACAACCATGCAGCGACACAAGGACTGCATCCAAATGGCCTATCCCCTTAAATTCGCATACACCATTCAAAGGTAGACAATTAAACTGGTCGTTTTACTTCTTTACATTCTCCCCCGTCTTACTCTCCTGACAGTTTCAACTACACCTATTATTATCATTATTACCGCTATGTATATATATATATATATAATTCAAATTATTCTTCAAATTTAATCACCTGACTGTTGTTACGTTTTCTTATTCTTTTTCTGTCTGTTAGTCTGAATAACTTCACCAGTTGCGTCTATTATTATCTCTTTTCTTTTGACGACGATATCGGAGGACTAAGTGGTGAAAGGATCAACTCCATTCACAGTAATAACAGTCTTAACACACCTGATACTACAAACCACATATAATTAATTTCAGCGCTACTCCTTTGGGAGTCAACCAAAGCTACGACGGTTGAGTGGCGGGACGAGCTACGCAAACGTTTACCGAAGATCAGGAACCTCTACCTCAAAATCAAGAGGCGAGCACAAAGAAATCAAATTGGTTTATACTAGCTCGTAAAAACGATATTGGATGTTGAAATCACCTCCGATAATTTTATAACTGAAGGGAAGATTGGCTTTAACATTAAAAATGTTTCTAAGCATATTATCATATTCCCTGCTGGATAAAGGGGGTTGGTACACACAACCCACAAAAGTAGGTTTACTACGTGATTGGATCTTTGGCTTGACTAACTTATTTTAAGGATCGTTCACACACAAACATGTCTCTTCATAACCTTTGGTGTATTCACTTAAAGCAAGATAGTCACCACACAACTAATAAAAAGACTTATACAGACCTCAGGTCTACTGTTTTCGAATCTTAAATCTAACATTTTAAGTTGAGTAATACTCGACCTTCTACGAGAGAGCGAGTTATAAATTTTTTGCACCATCATGACATCAGCAATAGAAAAACCCGTATGGGATGATGTTGATGTAAGCAATCAGTTTATTCATTGTTGTTACTTATCAAGGAAGCCATGGTGGAAGAGGTTATGCGGATGTCAACGGAAGAGTTGACAAGTAGGGCAAGGTTACTTGATGCTGAAATTCGCGTAAGTCAGTGTCCTAAATGAATATTGTGGAATTCATCCAGTTTATGAAGTCGGAATTGCACCACGTTGACCATGAAATTAAGATGAAACAAGCGAAAGTAAAAGACAGCAAAAGTAAGATCAAGATGAACAAGGCTTTGCCTTATTTAGTGGCAACCGTTGTCGAGGTACTGCCCTTATTATTATAACACCCTTAGTTATTAGATGTAGAACCACAGGAAGATGAAATTGAGGAAGGGGCGAATGTGGATCTTGATTCGCAGCGCAAAGGAAAGTGTGCTGTCATAAAAACAAGCACGAGGCAGACCTACTTTCTCCCAGTTATCGGGCTTGTACCTCCTGAAGAGTTGAAACCTGGGGATTTAGTTGGTGTACATAAAGACTCGTATCTTATACTTGAGAAGCTTCCCCCCGAATTCGATTCTCGAGTAAAGGCTATGGAGGTTGACGAACGTCCTACTGAGAGATACAGTGATATTGGTGGCTTGGACAAACAAATACAAGTAATTATTACAGTCACATAATATCTTTTAAAGGAACTAATTGAAGCTGTTGTTCTACCTATGACACATCGTGATCGTTTCGAAGCAATTGGTATACAACCTCCTAAGGGTGTATTGTTATACGGTCCTCCTGGAACGGGGAAAACTTTGCTGGCCCGTGCATGTGCTGCGCAGACCAAATCTACTTTCCTAAAACTTGCTGGTCCTCAACTAGTTCAGATGTTCATTGGGGATGGAGCAAAGTTGGTCAGAGATGCATTCCAGCTAGCCAAAGAAAAAGCTCCAGCAATCATATTTATTGACGAACTTGATGCAATCGGTGAGTAATGTGATGTTTAGAAATTAATTTCCATTTTGCATTGTGATTAGGATTTTACTCGATTTGTCTCCCTTTTCTCATTCACTATATGTTGACTTTTGACTCCAAAGTACTAATATTTCATAACTTTGAACTACTTGTGAGGAGTATACCTGAACGAAACAAGGCATTTCAGTTCTGTGACGATATTTGCAAGTAGATTTTTAAGCCATTATTTGTGAATAGACGGTAGCCAAGATGGTAGGGCGACAGTTTACATGGGACTTACCTCATTTTTGTGGACATTCACTACTAATAGTTACAAGTTCTGTTCCCTTACCATTTTTGCAGATTTGATGTTCTTAGTCTGATAGATCCTGTTATATATATATATATATATATATATATATATATATATATTGGGGCCACCATATATTGTTCTCGTTTACGATACTGTCCTCTTCACAGCAGTACATAAACGCAAAATTTATGCTTTTATAGAGTTTGTAGAACCGAATTTTACTAATGTAAATGCGCACTCTTGGTCCTATAAGCGAAGTGCTCGAAAATAAGGCAGCAGCTCTGTATGACAACAACTTATCAAGTTTCAAATTCTTGATTGGTTAAATTGTTACGTGTATAGTGAAGGGGTTTTAAAGTGAAGTTACGGGAAGAGATCTCTTTGCTGACTTGTTTTTCTAATTACATGATATTGGGATTTTTCATAAGTCGAAAGAGCTTGACTATATTGATTTTCATTATTCTTGGAAAAGCTGAATAATTTGTAAACTACAATCAAAGCTTGTATTTCTTATCTCACATATATCAGGTTCTTGGTTAAAACCAATATTGTTTTATTTTCATAATTGCTGCATCTGACAGGTAACGTAAAGTTTCGAACAAAAGAGTAATGCTTTTATCTGTCACCTTGATATGGCTGTCAGATTGTATGTCCCAGTGATTGAGTGAGCTGTACTGGCACTTAAATAGTGATTAAATAGGAATCACTTGGCATTGCAAGATTGGTTGCTCACGATGTGATGGGAGTGTTTAATATCTTTGTACTGTTGGTAGATAATAGTGACAATGATTAGGTGTTCCTCTAGAGCTAAAACCAAACCGACTGTACTACACGCGGTAAGGGTCACAAAGCCTCGGAACAGGTTAGTTCCAAAAATTCTACTTCCCGACATAGCCTGAAGTGGTCGGTCACTAGTGATACAGTTTTCTGTAGAACCAAAATATCATAAAACTCTGCCTCTCGGCAGGTCGTTTATGGAACAAAGATATGCCTACAGTAGGCTACTGAAAAAGTATATTGGGTGGATACGGAAAAGCAATCTACTCAAACTCATACAGTTCTACAAAAACCTATAGAGAGTTATCATCTGTAGTGACGACACCCGTTAGTGCACTTCAGGGGTACTCACTATCATTATTTGTTATTTAATTTTATTGTAGATGTACCGAAGTGGGTAACTGTGGTCTATTTCTACTTCTCAGACATCGACTTAAGTGCCTTCATTCATTTTATCCTTTTAGCTGAAACAGAATGTTCAGTAATAATGAGTTTAGGTGCGACCTTAAGTAAGTAAGGAAAGTCAGGTGCCTAGGATACATCTTGCTTATGCTGAGTCAAGGATTCCCTGACAAACCTAAAGAATTCAGTTACCTGGAATAAATCTTTCATGTACCTAACTAGGCGAAACAGTTGTTGTAATGCTGTCGAGTTGTCTGGTCTGGATTAATTTAAGTAGGGATGCATTGGTTACAATTGGAGTGGCACATTATCACCCTACAAAAAGCACTGTCAGATGAAGTCAGTGTAGGTTGGAGAAGAGTTAAGTGTGTTGACATGAAAATATAACAGGAATCCTATGGAGGCATAAACTGTCTGACTGCGTTCCTCGAAACGCCAAGATTCTATGAGTGTAGACTTTTTGGCGACATGGCTCAGAATCGTTCTCAGTGGCACAGACGCATTCACTCTATATGAAACCTTAGATCTATCGGATTACCGTTATCCTCCATGTAATCATTTTTTTTCTGCTGTCTATTTCCTTTCATCATTATAGTTCCTCTAGATTTCTTTTCTCTGCGTTTCTGTGCTGTATGGAGTGTGGCGACTTGGATTATTACATTTTTGTGTAAAGTTCTGCTTTGGAAATTCAATCGGTTCGAAATCTTTCAAAATACCGTTTATGTATGGAGTCATCATGGTCTTGCAGATTATGAGAAATGTCAGTAAACTTCATCTGATTATTCTGTCTTTTCTACATCTTCATCCCTATAAAGTCTGTCTTGCCACTTGTTCGTTTATCGGTTCTGCTGCGTTCCAACTTATTAATAGTTTATTTTATTCAGATAAGCAATTTAATGACAACACCTTGTTATTTGCTCCATACCTATCTGCGTCTAGAGCCTTCTCCTATACAGTCATCTCAGGTGCAATATCACATTTTTGCTTAGTTTATCCTTTTTCGTCGTGTGACGTTCTACGATTTTCATATTTTTTTTAATGACGGTTTTGATCACTTTTTCATTTTTTTTTCTTAGGCACAAAACGCTTTAACAGTGAAAAAGCCGGTGATCGTGAAGTACAACGAACAATGTTGGAATTATTAAACCAACTGGATGGTTTTCAACCGAATCATGATATCAAAGTGATTGCAGCAACAAATCGTGTGGATATCTTAGATCCAGCCTTATTACGAAGTGGTCGTGTTGACCGAAAAATTGAATTTCCAGCACCGAATGAAGAAGCACGTGCTCGAATTATGCAAATCCATTCGCGTAAAATGAATGTTGAGTAAGTAGTCTGTTTTGTTTTCCCCCTGACTAATCTTTCACTTTAGCAAAGATGTCAACTTTGAAGAATTAGCTCGGTGTACAGACGACTTCAACGGTGCTCAATGTAAAGCTGTGTGTGTTGAAGCAGTAAGTCACAGTTTCTTTCCGTTTGTTAAATATACACACAGGCAGGTAGTTTCTAAGGATAATACAATATACTTAGTTGTGAGGTTCCTGCGTTCGTTCACTTCAGAATTATTATTAAACTTAAAAATGATTTTTATCTCTAAGTGATGTTGGTTTTCAGGAGTCATGGAAGGCCAAATAATACATAATAGCTTCTTTTACATATGGGTACGCTTCTGCTGCACTGATACAATTCAAGGCTTCCTAAAGAAACAGTAACGTTTGACGGATGTGAAGTACTAAAGGCAGAACGTAGTGCACACCTTTTTTGTCCTATCCTAAAATTGAGATGTAACCGCGTAAAAGGCTTATGTGGTTTTAAGCATAGGACAAACAATGTTGAAAAAGAAAGCTTATGCTAGCGATGTAAGTTCATCGGGTTCAAATAAAGTATAATTATATTTCAATAGTTTACACACAATGATATGTTTTGTTATTGGTAATATTTCGAGCAAAATTACTGCCCGTGTTCACATCACTGTCAGAATTGTTTATTTCACACATTTATGATTTGTACTCATATATATAGTTCATTTTTTTGTTCATTCATTTTTGTGTATTCAGAATTATATTCCAGGTTGTTGATAGTTGTTCTGAGTCACCCTTGTTACATTTTTCCGGTGTGACCTTAATGAATATGGATTCTGTTATAAGTCTCTCTTTCCATTTGTTCATATTAGTTTTTAGAATACATACATTGTTCCAATCGATATTGTGGTTTTTGTTCCATGCATGTGCAGCTATAGATGAATTTCTTTCAACATTCTTGTAAGCTTGTTTTCCTGTTGGTTGACCTTTAGTTAGGCGTTTATGTTCATTCACTCTTATTTTGAGTGATCTGGACGTTTACCCCACATATTTAGTCGGACAGTCAGCACAAGATATTTTGTAAATCACATTGTTTTTATCCATTATTTTTATGGGATCTTTCAGTTGATTTATTTTATTTTTGATTCGATTCATCGGTTTAAAAGTTGTGCGAATACCGATATTTTTGAGGTTTCTTCGAATTGGCTCTGATGAACCATCTTTGTATGGTATTGTGACTGTTTGTTTTCATTCTTCTGTGTTATCATTCTTTGGTTTCACCCTCTTTTTATATTGTCTTTTAAAAATCCTTCTGGGTAGTTGTTGTCGAATAGCAGTTTGAATAGGACAGTTATTTCTTTACGCTGGTCCTCTGGTGTTGTAAGTCGGCGTATTCTATCTGCAAGACTTTGTATTAATCCTAGTTTTACAGTGAGTGGATGAGCTGAGTGATAATCAAGGAATCTTCCAGAGTGTGTGGTTTTTCTATATAGCATTGTTTTTATGCTACCATCTGTTACTGAACAAATGGAAAGAGAGACTTATAACAGAATCCATATTCATTAAGGTCACACCGGATACATGTAACAAGGGTGACTCAGTACAACTGTCAACAACCTGGAATATAATTCTGAATACACAAAAATGAATGAACAAAAAATGAACTATATATATATGAGAACAAATCATAAATGTGTGAACAAAACAATTCCAACATTGGTGTGAACGCGGGCAGTAATTTTGCTCGAAATATTACCGATAACGAAACTCATCATTGTGTGTAAACTATTGAAATATAATTATATTTTATTTGATCTCTTCCACAATGCTCAAACTTATTACTGACATTAATTCATCGGGTTTCTTCTACATAATAATGATAAGTAAGTAATGAGGTCTCGAAAGGCATAATTATTAATCATAGGAATAGTCGGTGTTATGAGTTTTCTTTCACAATGCACTTGTTCTAAAATCTTCGGTTGAGAATTTCTATCAGACAAGTGCGTTATTATAATTAGTAAAATACACAAATCGTGTTGGTGTCTTTTTCAGATAGTCATTTGTTGTCAGAAATTTCCTTTCTTTTACAACTTGATAATATCTAATGTTCATGATGAACAAATAATATCTATGATATTTCGGTGAGTGAGGATGCTAAAACGTGACTCACCTTCAACGTTCGTCGTCTGTCTGTTTTCGACATAGAACTTTGCACATATGTGCGGCAGTTCAAGTCACCACACTCCATGTACCACACAAAGCAAAAGAAGAAAGAAGGAGAAATGCATATTAGAGACAGTAAACAGAGGATTGATACAGAGGAATAGTAATAACGAAGAACAATATAGTTTCATTGGGTATTATAAGTCACAAGGAGTGGATGCATCTGCCCCATTGAGAACGATCACTTTGAGCCATGTCACCAATTATCTCCAGCCGTCATTGGTTTCTACCGTCCCGAGGACCCCAACCAGGAAGTCTACGCCTTCCTACGTGGCTTAGACTAAATGTTGTAGATTTCATTGACTGGTGCCATGTTTTGGTTTGACCGCCGCTAGCTCTTTTCCAGTCTGACCCTATATCGGCTAACATTGCCCGTCGAGGAAGGCGATGACTATGCATACGTAACACATGTCCTAACCATCTCAGTCGATGTAGCTTCACAGCCTCGTCGATTGATTTCCCCTCCTTATCTAGCACTCGACCGAAGCCTAACCTCAATATTGCTCACCCTATTATACCACTACTTCACACGAGAGATAGAACGCAAGCACCTATGATCGAAGACAGCTAATCTTTTCATGTCTTCCGCTCTCAATGGCCAGGTCTCACAGCTATAAAGACGGACGGAGCGGACTGCTGAGCAGTACACCCGCCCTTTGGTCTATAGTCGGATATCACGTCTACGCCAGAGACGGCGTAAACTGGCATATGCGTAACTAGCATGCGTAAACGTTCGTTACTATAAATAACTAAATCTTAAGCTGTAAGAAAAAAGAAAATACCTAATTGTTTTTTTAAATCTTTTTCATTACAAGATGTATCATCACTGATCCTGTAATATTTATCTGATTCAAATTTTCACTATAGGGTATGATCGCGCTACGTCGTGGAGCCTCAGAAGTAATACATGAAGATTATATGGATGCTATACTAGAAGTTCAAGCAAAGAAACGCACCAACTTAAACTATTATGCTTGATTATTCATTTGTGTATGCTTTAATTGTAGGTGTTTACATCTACAATTTCAGATCGATTTGACACACCACTGTTAGTCAGTCAGTCAGTCACCCATCGTGATGTGTGATGACTCCAAATGTCAATATATACAATATACCCTGTATTTATTTCAATACAATATGGTTTTGCTTAATCTTTTTAATTAACTTTGCACTTAATAAATGGATACATCCGTATTCACTGTTTAACTATTAATGTGTGTAACTATTTTGATATACGGTTACGTCCTCTGGGCTAGGCGATTTAGTAGTTGCAAAGCTTTCATTGTCCCATCTAAACAACATCTTCAGCGCAAGCTTCAATATGCATTCTCCATGAATAATAATAATAATTGTGTTGTATTCGGAAAATGCAAATTAAGTGTAGCTCAGTCATTCAATGATAATGTTTTCTTGTCGATTCTGTCTGTCTGGATTCAACATAGAACTTGGCACCGAAGTGCAGCAGTTCAAGTTGCCACGTTCCAAATAGCACACAAAGGTAGACAAGAAGATGAGTGAAGAGAATCAATAGAGTTTTGACAAGTATAAGAGTGAAACAGAATGAGTAATGGTAGAAAGGAATATGAAAGATTACAGAGACTGAATACATCTGTGCCATTGACAACGATTTTGAGCCATGTCACCTATTGTCTCCAGCCATTGATTCTTAGAGTCCCGAGGGCCCCAACCCGGAAGTCTGCATCTCCCTACCTGACTCAGTTTAACTGTCAAGGATTTCATGGATTGATGCCATGTTTTTGTTTGGCCACCACTTACTCTTTTCCAACCTGCACCTATATCAGCTAGTAATGCCCGTCGGGGGAGGCGATGGTTAGGCATGCGCAGCACGTCACCTAGCCATCTCAATCTATGTAACTTTATAGCCTCGTCGATTGATTTTCCCTCTTTGCCCAACACTCTACGCCTAACGTCAACATTACTTACCTTATTATACCACCTAACGTGAGAAAGAGATCGTAGACATCTATGATCAAAAACAGTCAACCTTTTCATGTCTTCAACTCGTATTGGCCATGTTTCAGAGCCATAGAGAAGGACGGAGCGAACTGCTGAGCAGTACACACGTCCCTTGGTTGATAGCCGGATGTCACGCCTACGCCAGAGACGGTGTAAGTTAGCGAAAGCAGCCCGAGCTTTTTGGATCCGTGCTGAGATTTCGTCACCAATCAATCCGTTGGTGCTGATACAACTTCCCAAATAGGTGAAGTGGTCAACATGTTCTATCACTTCACTCCCTATCACTAAGCTAGGAGTTGACGTAGTCCAGTCCTGTAGCAGCATCTTACATTTTACAGGGGCGAATCGCATGCCAAACATACGAAGATTGCTGCTCAAGGTGTTCAGAAGACTCTGCATTTTGTCAGCATCCTCCCCTAACAGGACTATGTCATCTGCATATTCTAAGTCCATAAGACTATTCCCTGGTAACAAGTCGATTCCTAAGTCGTTAAGTTCAGTTAAGGATACTTCCATTAGCATATCTATGATGAAGTTAAACAGAAATGGGGAAAGTGGACATCCTTGACGGACACCACTGGTTGTTATCAATTCAGATGACAATTCCCCATAAGCCCTTACACGGCTACGTGAGTTTGAGTAGAGTGCCTTGATTAGTGCAATGTACTTTCTTGGCACTCCCTTCACAGTCAAACATTGCCATAGTACCTCTCGATCCACGGAGTCGAAGGCCGCCTTCAAGTCAAGAAATATGGCAATTGTTGGACGCCGAAAAGTGTGTCTATGTTCTAGGATCTGTCGGAGAGTGAAGATATGATCTATGCACCCTCTACCTGGCCTAAAGCCCGCTTGATTTTCCCTCGTTTGTTCCTCCCGAGTTCGGCTTAGTCTGTGCATGATTACTGAGCCTAGGATTTTAGAGACTATGTTCGTCAGGCTGATTCCTCTATGATTATCACATGAGGACTTGTCTCCCTTCTTGAATATTGGTATAATAAGTGACTTACCCCAGTCTGATGGAACCGTCTCTGATTCCCAGACGTTACCTAGTACCTTAGTTAAACTATATACTAGTATGTCACCCCCATATTTAAACACCTCCGGAATAATTCCGTCGGGTTCTGCCGCTTTGCCTCGTTTCAAATTACAGATAGCTTTTGTGACCTCACTTACAGACGGCGGGCCAGTGTCTATATCCCATTCGGGTGTGTGCTGGATGGCGGGGAGGCTCAGTGTGGCTGTAGGCAAGTTAAATTGTTCCTCAAAGTGTTCTTTCCAGCGTTCGAGGCGTCTATCCTGAGAGCTAATTAAGGAGCCATTTTTTCTCAGAAATAGTCTCACTTATGATTTGCCTTCTCCCACCCGTTTCCCTGATGAGTCTAAAGGGTTGCCTATCGCCGATGCTTTTTCCATCTATTTCGTCTTTATCACCCACCACTGTTCACAGTCCTTGCGGAGACTTTTCGTAAGTTTCCTTTTGTGCAGCTTTTGCTCCTCATTGAATTCGGAGCTCGCCGGAATAAGTCTTCTAGCATCTATCAGTTCGGATGAGGCAGTCGAAATCCAATGGTTTTTACTCACCTTTGGATATACCTTATTCACAGTTGTATCTATGGTTGACTGAATACTCTTCCAGGCTTCTTTAGGGTGAGCACAGCTGTCGAACTCAGATGTGCTTAGCTATTTCTTGTCTATTAGGTTGTTATGCTTGATGTGTCATGGAATATATGCTATTACTCAGTTGTGTAGAGATTATTGATTTTTAAGAGACACGCGGTTAGGTTAATGAGTCGCAGAACACTTACAGGATTGTCTTAAATGCCAATGTGACACATCTGAAAGGGTATAAGGTATTTTACGGCCTCAGTCAGTTGTATGAGGAGGAGTGCTATTTGTTTGTGTTATGTTTATTACTGCTTTAGCAAAATACAGTGGTAGTCAGTTGGGTGTATTTTTTAGGTTGTCAAGATTCTGGATCAATTTACATGTGGAACAGGATCATGAGCTACGTTCCCACAGTAGTAGTTGGTGACACAAACAGATCCACACTCCATTCGATCTTGTCTGATTCTGGAGCCCATGAACCTCATAGGTTTGGAATCAGGGTTTTCCAGCTCCTCCACTAAGTAGACGTGAATATTCATCAGTCCGGTTGTAAACTCCAGACGCCCGCATTCGTCCTTCCAATTGTATGAGGAATACTCGCGCCGCGTGAAGACAGTGAATAGGACTTACGTGGTGGAGTAGAGGTAGGCTATGAATGTGTGGCCTTTCCAAAGCATTTTGAAAGCAACGTCAACTGTACCAGGTCGTTTATGTAGCCGAAGTTTGGATGCACTTGCGTCACTGAGAGAACGGCTCTGAGCCATAACAGAGATGGTCTGCAGTCATTGGTTCTTAGCGTCTTGACGAACCCAACTAGGCAGTCTACATGACTCAAACCAACTGTCGAAGACTCTATGGATTGATTCTGTGTTTTGATTTGACTATTAACTCTTTTCCAACGCAGCCGTATATCAGCTAACATTGCTAACAAGGAGGATGGCTGTCCCTCGGTATGTGTAAAACAAACGTCCTAGCCATTTCACAACCTCATCAATCACACTGTTATTTAGTTCGCGACCTTCCTGGTACATTTTATTGCTCATTATCTTATGATATAATAACTAGCCCAGTCGCTCAGTAGTTGTTAGAACTCGACTACCCGTGATAGTAACACTTACTGTATGAAGAGACGATAGTACCCAGATGCACAGGCTAAAGTATGTGCAGCTAATAGTATTGTGTCACTATGGAATCTACTAAAAATATTATAATTTATCTATCACATACAGTTCGCTTAAAAAGTAAAAGATCACTCACCTTATGAAGATTATTGACTATATACAGTTGTTAAAATTCTGTTAAACTCACTAGGTTTGACTTGTTATTGGGGCACGTCATTAGTTTTTTTTGCTTCACGTTCCCCACTGGAGCATAGGGCTTCAAGCTAGTGGCTTGAAGTTTCTGTAGCAGTCTTTATTTTACAGGATGGGGTTGCTAGCCTCATGCCCAACCTTCCCTCTTCACCAGGTTTTAGTTCTGGCTTAGCGAGGTAAAGGAGTGCGTCGGCCGGGGATCGAACCCCGGACCATGTGCATGGTGGGCGAGCGTCCTAACCGCTATGCCACCGACGCACGTCATTAGTTTAACGGAAGTATTTCAAACACAAAATTCAGCATAGTACAGTCATCTGTTATAGTATACTTTGTCAGTCGACTTGACTAAGTATATACGCCCATTTACTACCTTTTAATAGATCACGAGAACCTGCGAAATAGGTATTATTTCTCCAATCGGCCAACTGATTCTACACCACCTTGTTGTTTTTAATAATGATAATCCAAGTATGCAATTTTATTCCACAAAAGTTCGTCTGTATCCTAACAGCGTTAGCTGCTGATACTACGGGCTTTAATTCTAGGACAAACTATGGGTTACTTCCAATTTGCAGATGCGCTCCCCCGTTAAGCAAAAAGACTAACTAATATCAGCAGTGAAACCTATAAAGAATGCTGTATGTGATTCGATTGTTTTGGAAGAATCTTTATGCTTGGACTTGGTTGATATTTCGGATAAATTATTAGACAGCAGAGATATATGTTAGTTGAATGCACATTTAGGAAACTCTGGAGAATGTTTTCTTTTCGCCTAGCTTTAAACTCATCCGAAACCCATAATCAGAAAATATGACCCCTCCTTGCAAGAAAAGAAATCACAATTCAATTTGTTTAACGAGTTTGCTTTGAGTTCAGATGAATAGTTGTAGGCTCATCTGTCGCTATGATCACTTTTAAAACATACAACTTAAAGTTTATAATCATCATCAACAACAGTATTGGTCCTCACCTGCAATTGGATGGTCAAGAAGTTGTGTTCAGTTTTTTTTTAATTTTAGCGTTGCTTCGCTTAATACTTGGCCAACTGGTATGGTTTTATAATTGTTGTTATTGATGTAGCTGTGTTCTCTGAGCTGGATAGTTTATTTGCGCAAGTAAAATAATACGGGGTATGGTATAATACTCTACGTAGTACAATCATCCATCTTCTATTTAAGAATATACAACTACTAGAAACTCAAACAGACTAAGGTTTATTATTATTGTTTCCTTTAATTCCTAAAGGAACATAGGGCTTCAACCGTGCGTCTCCATTGCGTTCGGTTCTCTGCTAGAGTCTTCACTTGACTCCAAGTCCGCCCACACGTTTTCATCTCCTCTTCACATGACCTCCTCCAAGTCACCCTTGCACTGACGACCAACTCGCCGCTTCCCTTTCGGGTTCCACTCGAGCAGTGGCCTGTCTAGTGATGTCACTTGATGGTTTGTTTCCTCAGAGTATGACCAATCCAATCCACCTCCATTTCTTCCTGCACTTCTGTTGC